CGCCAAGGCCCACACTGTAAATTTCCCAGCCCCGGCTCAGGGGAGTGCTCTGGCAGGCCAACCCAAGCCTTTGGGGAGCAGGGCAGGCCTCCCCACAGCACAGGGCTTGCCAGCTCTGAACCAGGGCTGCCAGGCCAACGGCCTGCTCTCGCAAACAGCCCTCCTCTGCCTGCTGGCACTGCCACCCCCAGGGACGGCCCCAAGGGGCTGCAAGCCCAAACAGGCAGCCGCCTTTCTCCCAGCCACAGCCTAACAAGCCAGAGGGGCAACAAGACACACACACAGAGCAGATAGCTGAAAGGCCAGGGCTAAAGAGAGGTTTAGCGAGCTGGCGGTGAGGTGGGGAGGGACTGAACGCCATGGCAGGATCAATGCCTTGTGCCTGACACAACTGCAAAGAACAGACCAGATTTCCAGGGCTGTGAGGAACTGGAGACCCCATTACACAACATACCGCAAGCCACAACACACGAATGCATTGGGTTGACCTCACTGTTGAGAAGCACATCTACATTTTGGCAACATCTACCAAATGTTCTGTCAAACACAACCAAGATGGAGTCTGTTTCCTCTATTATTTGTACTTAAAAGTTGCCGCCAGGGTCAGAAGGAGACGTCCTCCAGAAAAGGACATGAAATGGAGCGTTGCGGGAAGGGAAACACACCCCACCTCATTATTGGCGAGGTCGTGGCACACAAGAGCCGCCTGCTGCAAAATGCCGTCACGCGCAAAGGCTGTCCCGCCCCTTGGGCACCCGCATAAAAGCCGGCCCAGCGCCTCTCTCCCTCACACCCTTCTCCTGACGCCTTCTCCTCCGCGCTCAACAAGGTGAGCCTCAACCCCCTTCCCCTCCTTCTCCTGGCCTGCCTGGCCCGGCTCTTCCAGCACGCTCTGCTGGCCCCAGCCTCAGCAGCCCTCACGCCTCCCCGCAGCCACGCTCCCCACAGCCCCACACCACGCCTCCCCACTCCCTCGCCCTCCTGCACCACCGCCCCTCCGCTTTCTCACCCCCCTCTCTTCCAGGGCCCCTCCACACCACAGCCATGGCCTGCTCCGACCTCTGCCGCCCCTGCGGACCCACCCCGCTGGCTAACAGCTGCAACGAGCCCTGTGTCAGGCAGTGCGAGGACTCCCGCGTCGTCATCCAGCCTTCCACCGTGGTGGTCACCCTGCCAGGACCCATCCTCAGCTCCTTCCCCCAGAGCACCGCCGTCGGATCCTCCTCATCGGCTGCCGTGGGCAACGTCCTCAGCTCCCAGGGAGTGCCCGTCTCCTCCGGAGGCTTCGGCTTCGGCTACGGCTACGGCTTGGGCGGCCTGGGCTGCTTTGGTGCCGGAAGGGGCTGCTACCCCTGCTAAGGGCCCTTGACACACAAGCTCAACATCAACGGCTCCTCCTCTCTATGCATTAAATAAGGAAGCAAGGATGGGGTAGCTGCGGTTTCCTGGAAACATGACCCATGTACCTCCTCCTGTTCTCCAACTGTCTTCTTTGCATCGCCACTCCTGCTATGTCCAATATTCTCCGCTGCAAACACCTTCTCAGCAGAGAAAGGCCATCAAGCCTCTGGTGGGATGCTCCCACTGCAGAACAGGAACAGCTGGGTGATCTACGGCATGCAAGGGACCTTGGCTGATGGTCGCCGTACTTCTCCATCAGACCAGCTCCCTTCCACTCGGCGATCCTGCATTCTCCCTGGTTTTTTCTCTCAATAAAATTCTCCTGCATCCCCGCTTGAAATGCCTCCACTTCCTTTCTTCTCCCAAGGCTCTTCCAACCTCACCCAGCACAAAGACAGGGCTCAGGAACCCACTGGGCTGAGTGGAAATGGGCTGCAAGACCTCACCTATCGAGTATGACCTTAGCAACTACAACAACACACACCACCGTAAAACAAATTATATGGAAGTGCCTCTTAAAATCACCAAGTCCAACCGTTAATCTAATGCTACCAAGTCCAGCACTAATCCACATCCCTGAACAACACATCGACACAGCATTTAAATAACTCCAGGGATGGTGACTCAACTAATTCTAAAGGCAGCCAGTTCCAATGCCTCGTAACTTTTCAGTGAAGAAATGTTTCCTAATATCCAATCTAACCCTCCCCTGGCACAACTGGAGGCCTTTTCCTTTCATCGTGTCACTTGTTACTGGATCGACACTCCCACCCAACTAGCTGATGTCTGCAATGTTACTGAGGGTGCACTTTATCCCCTCCTCCAGATCACTGATAAAGCTATTCAAGAAAATTGGCTCAAACTCTCAGCCACGGGCAACTCCACTTGTGACTGGCCACCAACTGGATTTAACTCCATTCACCACAACTCTTAGGGCACAAACATCCAGCTGTTCTCTACCAAGCAAACAGTATGTCAGTCCAAGCCATGAGCATCTAGTTTCTCCAGGAGAATGATGTAGGAAACAGCATCAAGTGCTTTACTAACTTGCAGGGAAAGAACACCCAACGCCTCTCCTCTCCTCTCACTGAAGGGGATCAGTATAGTCAAGCAGGACCTGCCTTTCATAAAACCATGCTGACCGAGCCTTATCACCTGGTTGCCCTGTAGGTGCCGAGTGAAGGCTCTCGAGATGATCTGCTCCATATCTTTGCCTGGCACTGAGGTCACACTCACAGGACTGTAGTTCCCCACATCCTCGATCCAGCCTTTCTTGCACATGAGCCTCACTTTTGCTAATCTCCAGTCAGCTGGGACCTACCCGGTTAGCCAAGGAGTGCTGAGAAGTGCTTGAAAGTGGCTTGCAGAGCACATCCAACACCTCCTTCAATGCCCATGGGTGGATCATTTTGTTCCCACACACTTGTGCATGTCCAAGCGCTCTAGCAGGTCGCTAACCATCTCCGTTGAACTATGAGGGCTTCATTCTGCTCCCCACTGACCCACTCCCTTGCTCATCACAACTCTGGCCATCACAGCAAAGAGAAACACGGCAAAAAGAATCACTGAGAGTGCAAGCAACCTCCGGAGCTCAACGTCTCCATCCCAACCTCCTCAAGCATGGCCAGATCGAGCACGATGTCCATAAACACGTCCACACAGGTTTTCAGTGTCTCCAGGCATGGGAATTCAGCACATCTTTGCACAACCAGTTTCACTCTTTGACCACTCTCACACCAAAAAAGGGTTGCCTTCCCTTCCAAGGAAATGGCACATCTTTTCAGCCTTCTCCATTCACCTTTGCACTGTCCATGGGCACCCATACGAGGATTCTCACTCCTCTGCCCTTCTGCCCTCCCACCTGCGATTTCGACACACTGATGACATCTTCCCAGCATGGCCTTGACTCATGCCTGAAAACCCGCCAAGATCATTTAGCTTCCCCTCATAGTAAAGATGCTCTACTACTCTCAGCATCTGGGTGGCCCAGCACTTACCTTATTCCAATAAGTCCATGTCCTTCTTCCATGGGGGAGCCCTCAATGGACACAGGACTCCACATGGGACCTCACCAGCACTGCAGAGAGTACAGGATCACCTCCCCAACCTCCTGCCAACCATCTTCCCAATGACACCCTGGAGACACTTGCCCCCTTCAGACGTGACAGCACAATGATACCTTGCAGTCAGCTCGTTCTCCCAAGCAGCAACACAAAGCAGGGTTCAGAAAAGCTGCTTTCCAGCCTTTCTACCCCCAGCATGTCCTGCTGGGCGTGATGACACTCTAGGTGCACAAATTGTTCCTCATATCCAATGCAAAGCTCCCTGGACATAACTGGAGGCTGTTTCCTCCTCTATCTCTCGTTACTAGAAATAAGAGACTGACAGGCACCTCCATACAACCTTCATTCAAGCAGTTGTACAGAGAAATAACATCCCTGCACAACTTTCTTTTTCGGGAAACTAAAGCAGCCAAGTTGCTTGAAGCATTCCCCATTCATTGTTCTTCTCTAGACTCTTCACCAGCTTTGTTGCTCTTTTTTGGACACATGACACCAGAGCCCAGGCTGAAAACTTACCAGCCCTTGCCGAGGCGATTGCTCCGGAGGGGCCAACCCAAGCCTTTGGGGAGCAGGGCAGGCCTCCCGACAGCACAGGGCTTGCCCGCTCTGAACCAGGGCTGCCAGGCCAACGGCCTGCTCTCGCGAACAGCCCTCCTCTGCCTGCTGGCACTGCCACCCCCAGGGATGGCCCCAAGGGGCTGCAAGCCCAAACAGGCAGTCGCCTTTCTCCCAGCCACAGCCTAACAAGCCAGAGGGTCAACAAGACACACACAGAGCAGCTGACAGGAAAGCCCGGGTCTAAAGAGAAGCTTAGTGAGCTGGCGGTGAGGTGGGGAGGGACTGAACGCCATGGCAGGGTCAATGCCTTGTGCCTGACACAACTGCAAAGACCAGACCAGGTTGCCAGGGCTGTGAGGAACTGGAGACCCCATTACACAACATACCGCAAGCCACAACACACGAATGCATTGGGTTGACCTCATTGTTGACAAGCACATCTACATTTCGACAACATCTACCAAATGCTCTGACACAAAGAACCAACATTAATGCAATTTTCCTCTATTACTCGCACTTAAAAGTTGCCTCCAGTGTCACGAGTACACGTCCTCCAGAAAAGGACATGAAAAGTGAGCGTTGTGGGAAGGGAAACACACCCCACCTCATTATTGGCGAGGTCGTGGCACACAAGAGCCGCCTGCTGCAAAATGCCGTCACGCGCAAAGGCTGTCCCGCCCCTTGGGCACCCGCATAAAAGCCGGCCCAGCGCCTCTCTCCCTCACACCCTTCTCCTGACGCCTTCTCCTCCGCGCTCAACAAGGTGAGCCTCAACCCCCTTCCCCTCCTTCTCCTGGCCTGCCTGGCCCGGCTCTTCCAGCACGCTCTGCTGGCCCCAGCCTCAGCAGCCCTCACGCCTCCCCGCAGCCACGCTCCCCACAGCCCCACACCACGCCTCCCCACTCCCTCGCCCTCCTGCACCACCGCCCCTCCGCTTTCTCACCCCCCTCTCTTCCAGGGCCCCTCCACACCACAGCCATGGCCTGCTCCGACCTCTGCCGCCCCTGCGGACCCACCCCGCTGGCTAACAGCTGCAACGAGCCCTGTGTCAGGCAGTGCGAGGACTCCCGCGTCGTCATCCAGCCTTCCACCGTGGTGGTCACCCTGCCAGGACCCATCCTCAGCTCCTTCCCCCAGAGCACCGCCGTCGGATCCTCCTCATCGGCTGCCGTGGGCAACGTCCTCAGCTCCCAGGGAGTGCCCGTCTCCTCCGGAGGCTTCGGCTTCGGCTACGGCTACGGCTTGGGCGGCCTGGGCTGCTTCGGCGCCAGAAGGGGCTGCTACCCCTGCTAAGGTGCATTGTCACATGAGCTTGATGTCAACGGCTCCTCCTCTCTAAGCACCAAACATGGAAGCAGTGAAGGGGCAGCCCAGGTTTCCTGGAAACATTGCCCAAGTACCTCCTCTTTTTCAGCAACTGTCTTCCTTGCATCCGCTTTCCTGCTATGTCCGCGAATCTCCTGCCGCAGGCACCTTCTACAAAGCCAAAGCCCACTGGGGACCTCAGGCGGGCTGCTCCAACTGTAGGGTAGGAAGGCTGTGGTGCTTTGGAAAAGTCTACTGCCCCGAAGGGACCTCTGCTGATGGTCGCCCTACTGCACCTCAGACGACCTAGCTTTCCATTTTTTTTCTTCAATAAAGTTCTTCTGCATCCCAGTCAAAGACTATAACACTTCTTTTCTTCTCCGAAAGCTCCTTCCACTTTACCCAGCACAAAGCCAGGGCTCAACTGCCATTGCTGTAGTGGGTGGAAAAGGGATACAAGACCTCTCCTCAGAAATGCGTCACCACCAACACAGACTGGACCTGGGGGGCTTCCAGAATGTGGCACAAGCCCATTCTTGCACAAACTAAGGGGTAGATAGCACAACACTCCCCTACACACACCTCTGAGAGGTCCTTCCTGTGCCAGCACACACTTGACTAACTGTCTTCCACAGCATTACTCTCCAGCTCTCCCAGCAAACAGAATCACGGGATCATTACTTTGGCAGGAACCTCTGGAGAGCAGGTGCTTCTACTCCCTCTGCGCAAGCAGGGACAGCTGCAGCAGGTTGTCCGGGTTCCACGGCCGCTCACATTTTCAGTATCTCCCAGGATGGAGCCTCTTCCACTCCTTGACCACACTCACACTGAGCAAGACTTGCTGCTTTTGCCCGTGGAATTCCATCCTTTCTCACTTGTGCCCAAGGCCTCTTGTCCTGCAAACGCGCGCTACTGAGGAGAGCCCGGCTCCCTTCACCTCATTCCCTGGCTTCAAGGATTTATAAACATTTAAGAATGAGTGTAAAGGGGAGGCAGTGGATGTACAGTTCTCAATTTTAGTAAGGTTTCCGATTCTGGCCCTCTCGGAATACGCCTACACAATTGTTCCAACTGTGATGTGAGAACGTACATGCAGCGATGGGTAAAGAACTGGCTGAACAGCAGGGCTCAAAGAGTTGTAGGGAATGGGGATACAGCTGACACCTTCTGGAGCAGGCAGGATAGATTAGAGCACTGGGCAATGATTAACAGCCAGAAATTGAAGAAGAAGAAATGGCAGATTGTGCACCTAGGAGGGAGCAATCTCTCTACGCACGTAACAGACTGGGAGAGGAGTGGCTGGAGAGCAGCCCTGCAGAAAGGGATCTGGGGGTGCTGGCTGACAGCAGGCTCCCGACGAGTCAGCAGCATAGCCTGGCAGCCAAGGGGGCAAACCGCATCCTGGGGTGCAGCCAACACAGTACAACCAGCCGGTCACAGGAGGGGATTAGCCCGCTGGATTCCCCGCTGCTGCAGCCTCACCTTGAGTATCGTGGGCAGAATTGGATCCCCCAATTTAAAAAAGGATGTTACAGTTCTTGAAAGCAGCCAGAGCAGGGCAAGGAAGCTGATGGATGACAGGGCTGGAAGGCAAGTCCTATAAGGAGCAGCAAAAAACTCTGTGTTCATCTAGCCTGGAGAAAAGGAAGCCGAGGGGCAGCCTCATTGCTCTCTGCTGCTTCCAGAGGACAGGACGTGGAGAGGGAGCTGCTGAGCTCTTCTCCATGAGATCCAGAGACAGGATTCATGGCAATGGGTCAAATGAACCTCCTCAATGGGAGGTTCAGACAGATAGAAGGAATTATTTCATTACAGAGCGCGTGGCGAAACACTGAAAGAGGCTTCCTAGAGAGGTGGACGATGCCCCAAGTCTGACAGTGTTTAAGAGGCATTTGGACAAACACTGCCCTTAATTACATGCTCTTCCTCTTCGTCACCCCAGCAGCGAACAGGCAGTTGGACAAGATGATCACTGCACGTCCCTTCCAACTGGACTCTTCTAGTCCAGTCTTGTCTATTATGCTTCGCCAAGCCTTTGGCACGCAAACATCACCTCGAGGTTCTCAGGTGCACAGCCCCACGCAGCACGCACGCCTCCCCTTTCCCCTCCACTGCATCCAATCCCACTCTGGCCCCACAAACACTGCGCAGAGAAATGGCCTCACCCCTCGGCAATCACCCCAAAGTCAGAACCCACCTCCCCTGCCTGCCGTTCCCACTCCCCCTGGGCCTCTCCCCACACTCACCATCTCTCCCACAACTCACCAGCCTCAGCTCCACAGCCAGGCCCTGCCTCAGCACCCTCAGCAGCCAGCCAATCACAAGGCACTTAACAGCCTGCCAATCAGGGGGCAGCTGACAGGCACCAGCTGCTGCAGAAGCCCCTGGAAGCTTCCAGAAGGTGCCTGTCAGGACTCCAAAATCGACATTTCTGGTACAATAAATGGATAATCTTCAACAGACAGCCCCCAAAACAACTGCTGGGAGGGGTGGCTGTGAATGAGGGAATGAATGGGTAGAAATGCTGACGAAAACCAAAAGTAACACCTCACACGAGAGCAGTTAGGGGACTCAGAGGGGAAAGAGGGAGGGAAAATGCCCTGATTAAATAACATCCCCCCAAAATCTGCCATCAATTATTACCTCAACAGAGTCTGCGCTTCTTCCTGCGCTGCAGGGTGCCAGACACACCCACACAGGGTCCCCCGTCATCGTCCCCCTTGTTGTGGTCCCCAGGCCAACTGCCTGGCAGTCCCCATGACACCATCTGCCCTCACAGACGGCTCCCAGGGCCACCCACACAGGATCCCATGGCCCCATCCCCCCTGGCTACCAGGACCCTGGGCAACCCATGCAGGGTGCCCAGGTCACCACCCGCCTTGCTCTAGGCTCCTCAGCTGAACCAAGCGTGGGTCCCTGTGGCACTGTCCACCTGGCTGCCTGGTCCCCCTGCCACCTATGTGGGAGTCCCCACACCACAGTCTCACCTTGCTTCGGGGTCCCCAACTGATCCCTTGCAGAGGATCCTCAGTCCACCATCTCCTCTTCACTGCAGGGTCCCACAGTGACCCATGCAGAGGGTCTCCGGACCATCATCCTCCCTACCTCAGCGTCCCTGGGCCACTTGCTCAGGGGACGCCAAGACACCATTCCTCCGCTCTGAGATCACACAGAAAGCCCCCTCTCTGAGTGCCTCCACCCAATCTGGGGTAGGGTCCTCCATGTGCTGCAGGTGGATATTTACTGCACCACAGACCTGCACGCGCTGCAGGTGGACAGCCTGCCTCACCATGGCCTTCTCCACAGGCTGCAGGGGAATCTCGCCTCTGCTGCCTCGAGCAGATCCTACCCCTTTTTCTTTACTGACTTGACACTCTGCAAAGTTGTTTCCTCTCACACATTCTCCCTCCTATCTTCCTGCTGCTGTCGCACAGTACTTCTTCCCCTGCTTAAATACATTAGCAAAGCGGCGCGACTACAACAGCTGATTGGCTCAGATTTGGCATGGAATGTGCTGTCATGGAGCCGGCTGGCATTGGCTTTATTGGATGTGAGGGAAGCTTCTGGCATATTCTCACAGAAGACAACCCTGCAGATCTGTCGCTAACAAAACCTTGCGATATAAATCAATATACCCAGCGACAAACATACAGTCCTGATGGGCAATGAGAAATACAGAAAGCATACCCAAAGGAAAAGGCCACGTGTAAGGACAGGCTTAGTGAGCTGGCAGAAAGGTGTGGAGGGATGGAACGCCACGGCAGAACCAGCCCCTCACACCCACAACACATCCAAAGCCCACATCAGTCTGCCAAGGCTCTGAGGAGATGGGGCCCACTCTTCACAACACACCCGCAAAACCACCTCACACGGGTGCCACGGGATGACCTCACTGATGACACCCCATTAGTCCTACACTTTCGCTGCGTCTGCTGAATGCCCTGACACGCACCTTCCATGTAAATGCTCCCAAATACCTACTCTTCATTCAAAGCTTCTGACGGGCTCAGGTGGATACGTCTGCAAGAAGAAGACATGAAAAGGGAGCATTGAGGGAAAGGAAACACACCCCACCTCATTATTGGCGAGGTCGTGGCACACAAGAGCCGCCTGCTGCAAAATGCCGTCACGCGCAAAGGCTGTCCCGCCCCTTGGGCACCCGCATAAAAGCCGGCCCAGCGCCTCTCTCCCTCACACCCTTCTCCTGACGCCTTCTCCTCCGCGCTCAACAAGGTGAGCCTCAACCCCCTTCCCCTCCTTCTCCTGGCCTGCCTGGCCCGGCTCTTCCAGCACGCTCTGCTGGCCCCAGCCTCAGCAGCCCTCACGCCTCCCCGCAGCCACGCTCCCCACAGCCCCACACCACGCCTCCCCACTCCCTCGCCCTCCTGCACCACCGCCCCTCCGCTTTCTCACCCCCCTCTCTTCCAGGGCCCCTCCACACCACAGCCATGGCCTGCTCCGACCTCTGCCGCCCCTGCGGACCCACCCCGCTGGCTAACAGCTGCAACGAGCCCTGTGTCAGGCAGTGCGAGGACTCCCGCGTCGTCATCCAGCCTTCCACCGTGGTGGTCACCCTGCCAGGACCCATCCTCAGCTCCTTCCCCCAGAGCACCGCCGTCGGATCCTCCTCATCGGCTGCCGTGGGCAACGTCCTCAGCTCCCAGGGAGTGCCCGTCTCCTCCGGAGGCTTCGGCTTCGGCTACGGCTACGGCTTGGGCGGCCTGGGCTGCTTCGGCGCTGGAAGGGGCTGCTACCCCTGCTAAGGGCCTTGACACACGAGCTCAACATCAACGGCTCCTCCTCTCTATGCATTAAATAAGGAACCAAGGATGGGGTAGCCGCGCTTTCCTGGAAACATGACCCATGTACCTCCTCCTGTTCTCCAACTGTCTTCTTTGCATCGCCACTCCTGCTATGTCCAATCTTCTCCGCTGCAAACACCTTCTCAGCAGAGAAAGGCCATCAAGGACTCTGGTGGGATGCTCCCACTGCAGAACAGGAACAGCTGGGTGATCTACTGCATGCAAGGGACCTTGGCTGATGGTCGCCGTACTTCTCCATCAGACCAGCTCCCTTCCACTCGGCGATCCTGCATTCTCCCTGGT